ATGCACCTTTAAAACCCTCTAATATTCCCTTACGTTGCATTTATTGTAACTAAATTTAGGAGAGAAAAATAACAATAACGTTTATGTAAGCATCATGGATTAAAATCATCGCACCAAAAACCAGTTTACAAATAACCAATGGCAAAGTAGAAAAGGTTCAACAGGGTTCTTTCTTCTTGTCCTTTCTATTTTGAAAAAAAACTTGAAATGATTACAATAAACCAAGAATGATAGGAATATTTCAATAACACTCATGAATGCTGATAAGAATGCAACCATAGGTACACAGAATATGTGAACATAACAATGGAAGCTACGAGTACAATTTAAAGGGATAATAACTCTTCGTATGAGAGCTATATTTCACAATGAAAACATTGTGAATAACTCATAGAAATATAATATATTCTGTTTTACCATAAAAACGGCAGTTATAGTATTATTCTGCTATCTGAGCTTGTCTTTAGACCACGTGACCTCCATTGATGGCTATACTCTTATAAAATCTCTTAAGAGATTTTAACAAAAAAAAAAAAAAAAAAATTAGAAAAAAACAGGGACTAACTTTGAATGTAAAAATGGATTCATTAACCCATTTACGACCCCAGCCATGTGATTTAATGTGCCATTTCTTTATTTTTTATTCGAATTTTCTTTCCTTGCATGAATTTGTCAGTCTACTAACCCTACACACTTTCACAGTTTTTTGTAGGGATCAACCAATTAGTGTGGCGTATACATCACAAACTCTTGTGGGGTCATTTATGACCCCAAAGAGAAGCATTGGTTTTTAAATATTAGTTTTTAAATTTTATTCAAATGTTTTGCCCAAGCAACACTGACAGGAAAATGTCACATGCATGTGCTTCATGCAACTAGCCAGTGTGCCCAAAACATAGGCACAAATAAGTGGTTTGTGAAGATTGTGCTTGGAATGTTAGTAATAGTGCATCGTTGAATCTAATTTCAGTAGCTTTGTTGGAACTTGTTCTCATAACTGGGTCTCTCATTTTGGCAGTTACAATTTTCGGGTATTTCGGAAATCTAAAGAATTCTGTCGATATCATATTATACATATATATACAAATTGTTTGTGTGGATTTTGTTTTATACACAGATGTGGTAGTAACATACATGTAGGTTGATTGAATTTGTTCTGAGTAGTATGACTTCCTTACTAGCATTAGGGTATTCCCTACTCAGCAAGTCAGCTAATTATTCTTATTGAAGTTAGCAGGATGCTATCTCAACATAAGTCAAAATATTTTTACTCAAAGTAATTTTGTAATGTACTTTTTTCATTTAGTGTGACAAATAAAAAGAGAAATATTTCTGCAAGTGGAAACTGACAAAGACTGTCTAAATACCGGTGTAATGTTGTTCTTAAAATCTGTGCTTGGTTATTTCATGCAATATTACCAAATACTTATTACATTAGATCATTATAAAATACGTGTCTTAAATCCTGGGAGTAGTATAGGTGTGATAAACCCTCAACAGCCTTTTATAATAAGGATCCCTGTACAGAGCACAATGGGGTCATAGATGACCCCACTTGGTCATTTCAGTCAGTAAAATAGCTTGGTCTCTTGAGGGTTAACCATTGGTAAGGATGGAAAAATTGTTGTTTACTCCAGGAAAATTATTATTTTTTTTGGCAGGACTACTGTAGCTACTTAACAATAGTTAATTACCACATAGCAGCTTCAGCAGGCGTGGCAGACATCTAAGCCGCTTAACTTGCAATGTAGCTAGAATCCACTCAGAGATAGAAATTAATTTTTGGGTCGAAACGAAGAGTTATTATCCCTTTAAGTTTGCCTCATACACGTGTACTTAAAATAACAAAAAAGACGAAAAAGGTCGACTTTATTATATACATGTTTAGTTGGTTCGAAAAGTTAAAGTGGAAAGAGACCCCCCTCCCTTTGCTGTGATGGAAGATGAAGAACGCTTCATATGGTACTGTTTTTAGTAACAAAATCAGAATACAAACTAGAAAAGCACTCCGAGAGCGCAGACCTCCGCCAAGGCAGCAAAGTCTCCACCCAGTCTTAATTTTCATTCTATAATGATTTAGTTTTTTTTTTTTTTTTTTTTTTTTTTTTTTTTTTTTTTTTTTTTTTTTTTTTTTTTTAATAATTGATTACTGATTCGGATCACCACCAAAATCTATTCAATCGGTGCATACATATTTCTGTAATGTAAGTAACAGACAGACAGACAGACAGACAGGCAGGCAAACTAACGGAACCAAAAACATAACCTCCTAGGCGGAGGAAATAAAACACACACTATGAAGTTCATACGCGTGAATAACGAGATTTCACCATCCTCACTGTTTCCTAAAGCTACAAGTTTACCCAAAAGATGCTGAGTGCTTCTCTGGTTAATTTAATACGCTAGATAAAAATGACTGACCAGTCTTAGTAATGATATCTGTCGTCACGTGCAATGCCACGTTTTCCACAATGAAATGGCGGGGGG